GTGTCACATGGAGAGAGAACAAGGGCGGAGAGTGTTGGATGGGTCTATATGTATAGCGCGAGCGAGACATGTGTATGTGTGAACCAGGGAGATATAAGGTCAGTTTGGCTTGCGTCCTGAGCATCTTTTGCCTGGCCTGAGGTTGTGGCTGGATTTCATGCATGCTTGTTTGGTTGCTACCCTGTGAAAAAGAAAGCCCGCATGGCCTGGGTTCCCTTGCACTTTAATTAGCCTGGCTGGACTCCAGACACTGCAAGTAGCCTAGCCCAGGCGACCGATTTTGAACGCCTGGCCGTGCCTGGTCGTGCGGCCATGAGGCTAACAGCAACATGGATGGATATTAGCATTAAATAATTGCTGCATGGATTGATTGATGGGACGTTGATGCTTTTCCTGGCCCAGGCATGAACCAAACGCTTCAGCACCACACAAGCCTGGCCAAGCAGAAATATTTTAGATCTCACGTCCACACCAGGAAGTACTGGCCATCAAGGCATGAGGGTCAGGTCACGAACCAAACTGACCAATAAAGTTTGATAGAGATTTAGGAGCCCCGATAAGGCTGAGTGGTGCGTCAGATAGCTGAGAGGGGGAAGAGATATTCCATCCGCTCGATAATGCGGTGCATGTAAATTTTTTAGAAGTCAAACTTTGGAAACTTTGATCAGGTTTACGCAAATGTTATTTATATCTACAATACCAAAGATACATCATACAAAACTACATCTCATGGTGAATCTAATGGTATATGTTTGCCGTACTAGATGTAATTGTTTTTCTCCACGTACATGGTCAAACTTTGTGATGTTTGACTTTTCAATAAATATATATGCTATGGACCGAGCAGAGTGCCTAAGTTGAGACAGATCAAGTGCGTGTGAAGGAGAATGAGTAAGTGTGCAAAAATAGTATGTGTGTGAAAGACAAAGTGACAACAAACGACAAATTAGAGAGAGTGTGTGTTTTTTCGTTTCCTATGCGAACATATCACGCATGCATCTCCAAGATGGAAAAGCGAGGCGAGGAGATACACGAAGATAGCTAGTGTGTGATTGTTTGCAACGGAGAGAGACACCCCTGTAGCACATGTCCAATAGAGGTCTGGCCAACAAGGAACAAAGGTCGAGAGGGACACATGGATGGCATGGACGCATGGGGAGGGAAAGAGGGTGTGTTTGTGATAGAGAGATCCCCTCAACATCGTGAGGGGACTATATGGGTGGGAGATCGAGGGAGTGCGTGCGCGATAGAAAGATGCCCCGAGAGAAATCGAGATAGACCATGCACATGTTTGTGACGGAGACTAAGATTAGCTAGTCATATACATATAGGGGGGACTGCGTGTGCCTACAATTGAGTGAGAGACCATCATACTTGGCTAGCTAGGCATGAGATTGTGTGTGTGTGTGCGAGAGATGGAGAGAGAACGAGGGAGAGGGATAGAGTTTTAGATGGGCCTATCGAGTGCGAGTGAGATATGAATGTGTATGTGTGACCCAGGTGGATGGAGAGTTTGAGAGGGCGGGGAAGAGCTCCGAGATGACAGAGTGGTGCGTGAGAGAGTTACGGGCAAAGAGCCAAGGAGTTTGTGTGCGTACGATGAGTGCACCCAAGATATCTAGCTTGGAATAGCTAGAGTATCATACATAGTGTGCGAGAGAGACCTATA